ATACTAAGTAAAGAAAGCTATTCTCCACAAAACTATTCTAAGTGAAATGTGGGCATGCTAAATGTTAGATATCCCCAGTATGCACTAGTTGGCAGTGTCTTTGAACCCATCTGGGGTTACAGTCATGATGACAATCTTTATTTGTAAGGTGATGCTTGTAATAGTGACTACTTACAATATTTTTGAGAGAACCACCATAGATATATGTAGTATCTAAAGTAGAGACTCATCAGAATGTATAGTAATTTCTCATGCTTGTTATCAATGGCATTAAAAAAGCCAACAAAGATTCACATATTTGTAGCAGGAAAACTATTTACAAATCATATTACAATTTAACATATTGAATATTCTAATGCAATGATATATTATAACAGTAGAAGTCTCTTCTATCGTAATAGTTGTCGTCCTAACCAATTGCAGCACTGTCAGGGAATTAACACCACCCGGTATTTTCTACCGTCAACCATACATGGTGAATAGAATAATCGTTGGCGGAGCAAATATAATATACAAAAAAATTCACTATACCTAATGTATTGGTCAAATAAATATGTAATTTAAAAAATATGAACCCACTAAGAGAACGTCATCGTCTTTTCTCTGCGTATTTATGCAGTGTCCTTCGATGTTTGTTCCATGATGTGTGTTCCTCTGTACGTTCGTACAAGTTGTCTAGACATGGCCTGTCGTAATATATCATGTGAATATTCATATAACAATATGTAATGTCATTAAAATTATATTGACATAATTTACATAACTTCAAGCAAGTCGTGCTGTCTATCATGCTAATCCACTAACAGCGTAGTTGGCCCAGTATTTGAACTGCATAAAGAACGCAATAATAACTAACAGGCATCATATACCTTACATATGCCACACTCACCACATATACAGTAGGTATACGTCGTACATTTGATCAAAATTTGCATGACCGACAGTAAACTTTGGAATCCTTTTTCAATTAATGCAAAAAAAATAGTATAACGCATTATAAAATATTGCATTTTAAGATAACATTTCGATGCGTACGATATATCGTATTTCCTTAATGCTTATAAGATTAGTAAAATGCACTGTATGTCACTGCATTAAACCGAGATGTTGCCCTCAGGATTCCAAAAAAATTAAAGAAATCCTTTACGATGCTGTCTCGTTTGTTTTTTCATATGAACGACACTATATTTCAGCCATTAGGTATAGTCGAGTTGAGAGAACCCCATATAATATACAACTAAAGAAAACAAATAACAAATTAATTTTCTTGAAACAAAATAAATATTATTAAAACTAATCAATTTAGGAATATAAGTAGTTCCTGTTCAATACACGTACTGCATTTCAACTGTTATTTATTAATAATAAATACACCAAAAGTAATTGATTGGCTTAATTCTTTTGTGACAGGTATTGTTGTCAAGGTAGATAAATATATGTCTAAAATATTCATAATTACTGCGGAATGTAACGAATTATTATCACATTCACGTTCTAACAACCTTAACTTTGACATAAACAATAATGTATAACCAGGGTGTAATTATTTATAATCACAGAGGTAGTTACAATATTTACCGTCATCGTCATAAATAACTAACACACTGAGAGTTGGGGTGGAAATATCACAGACTTCTCAGTTTAGAACAAAAAATAACTGTACCAGTAGCCGTTTATGAAGCCAAGTAATATGACGAAATTTTAATATTTTCCATTAACATCCCTTATCTATGATTAGATAATTATGCAAAGTGATTTTTGCTTAATATCCAGATAAAATTAAATAATTATATTTAAATCAAGTGATGTTCTTCAATACGGAGACACACCATCACAGTACTCTGAAATAATAACGCATGAGTGTAATGAAATAATAACATACCACATGCGGGACACAAAGACCTAATTTTCCTGGTGTTGATCATGAATACTATACGTCAGCTTGTTGACCATTATTTACTGTACTTAAAATATGTGACAATAAAATTCAGCAATGTAAATGTCTATAAAATACAACATAATGTTATAAAAGTACAGAATACCATCGAAAATATGTTGCAACATCGACTTTATTTCAATCAGATCGCATCATATATACCTGAAGTAGGCGTCAGGTTGATATTTATGTAGTACATACCTATAGTATATATACTAATGTAGTAGTGTCGATATTCTCTCAAAAATATGAAGGAAATTATAGGTCGAAGGGACATCCGCCTTCTAGTAATAATTTCCATCCATAATACGTAAACTAATGATAAATACGTTCGTGACCACGTTTATGTTTTGTAGGTCATCGTGCATTATAATTATGTATATTTTAAGTATACTATTTAACTATATTGTATATATGATTATTACAAATTGTAAATTTATTTCAAAAATCATTGTTTACAGTGTAGTCAAATTACTCTCTTTTCTATACTCGTACCTAACTGTTTCTGTTCATTAATACTTTGAAATTGGGATAAACAATTAAACAGGTGTATTTATACCACAGCGGTGGCACTCAAGCATACGGATCATCTGATACTAAAAAGCTACCGTAGTCTATGAGTGCCTGAAACACTAGAAGTAACACGTGCGCATTGCCAACCCTTAAGAAATATGTTGTGTGTGTCTAATGAAATGTTAATATACCTTGAAAATATATCTTGAAAGCTCCTTGTTGTAATCACTAAAAACATAGTATAGGTACAATAACGTAGTACATAAGTAGGTAGTTCACTCGATAAATTTAGTTTGCATGCGAGGAAACTCCTCGGAAACTGCATTGTCCGTGACCTCAGTAGTGCCTCAGTAATTCAGCGGTTTAACATACCGCCCTACTTAATACGGTCGCGAGTTCTTTTCGCACGGTACAAACATTTGTATTCTATATATATATTTGTAGACTATACGCGTTACACAAGTGATTAGTATTTAGCTTAAGACTAGGTGACGCTGTGCAAACCATCCTGAGATATTTCAGAGTGAGTATAATTTCATGTCGTTGGCAAGCGGCGAATAGATTATACTATGGTCCACTCTGTACAAGTGAAGTTACAAATATGATAATCAACCATCAATCACGTCAAGCAATTCGTGCGTGTAGCTATTGTTTGACACGGATCTCTGAGATCGTAGTATTCTAAGAATTTGCGAGGTACCCCTAATTCTCTTACATAATAGACAATAATAGTAATGTCAGACGTAGAGTGTCATGGCTTGCGCTTGTTAACACATAAAACTTACCAAGTACTGATAGATCTGTCAAATTTAATTAACACATATTTCATTACATTCATGATAGATTTTCTGTTCCTATCGATATTCTAAACTTTGTCATTTATATGTCTAAATCATACAATTTTATAATAGATATTTGATGGCAGCAGCATTTGTGTAAATTGATTGACCCTTTTCTAGGACGTAGAAGTCAATAAGAAGTTACATAAACAAGGACGACTAGAGTCTAGGTTGTATACCCTTAAAAGTTGCTAACTACTCGTGTGTTGTCTGATGGAGGAGTCAGTAAGAGTCTACAGAAACGGCTTGCATAAGAAAAGTCATATGATTGAAGCATGAAGTATATGTAAGAACAGAAGACAACCGATCCTCTCCGCCTAGCCCTTTACCAACTGCATTACTTGGTTTGAAACTGAAACAAATACAAGTATTTGTACTTTCAGATTATAAAAAGATGACAACCACAACAAAATAGGTCTATCATTTTAAGAACTATATTTCCATAACCAAACAGTGAACATATAAACTTAACGTTAGTTTTTAATATCCCTATTTCTTTTCTGGTGGTTAGAAATTCATAATAGACGATGATAATATTATTATACAGTTACGAGAAATTGCAATAAACTAAAGTATACAGGTACAGCATCTACAACCACAAAGTTCGTACCAATTTACGTCTTGACCATTGTAAAAAAAATTTTTTTTAAGTTATCAGCTTGTGGCAATAAAAATTTGGAATAAATTGTATCCGCCATTATACCAAGTTTTAGTACTTTTGGAATTATAATAAAGACTATAAGGAAAATTATTGTCGATAAACATGGAAGGCCCCTTATTGCTGTGCTTGATATCGCCATAGAACATAAACACCGCACCTTAGTATGCGACGTCTGCTTTAGGTTGTGTTTTATAGTTCATATTTTTCTATTATTTTCCTCATTTTGTCTCTGGTAGATATTTTTATGTATTACCTAAAAAATTAGACTACGCTATTATTGTAATCACATTTGCATTGAATTAAAATAATATTAATATCTGTGTACAACAAAGTAAAAGATTCAGTTACGATTTTACTCAATTGTAGGAGGAAGAAAGACAATGAATTTCGTGCACATGACATACACTACATATTATGTAAACATTATTATTATGTTGTTGTAAATGGTATTTGAACATTGTCACGTTTATATGCTGCTAATAAATTACTCGCCACTTTTATTAATTGCTAAATCAATCTGAACTAGATTAAGAGTACATATTCAATTTTGTAATAAAAAAAGTATACATTTAGTTGTCTCGAGCTTATTTAAATTGAAATTCAATTAATTTGAAAATATTGCTTAAGTATTTTATGTAAATATTTTTTATCACAATTGTGAAATATTATAAAATAAATGTTCTCTCTCAAAAATTTGTTTTAACATTTTACATTGCACCACTGCCTATTACAGTGAAGTAACAAAAAGAAATAGAAATCTATGTCAGATTTTAATTAAGGCACTAACATTGTAAATAATACCTATATTATAATTGATCTTTTAAGTTACATTATCAACGAGTAACATAAGTGTACTATATTTTCAAAGAAATTTTTAAATATTTTTTCCACACGTGCGACGCTGGGGCGTAACACTAGCAAACATACAGCGTATGTCAACCCTACTCTTAATCTTGTATTTTATCTCATTATAATATGGGTAGGAGTCAACGAAAGCCAGGTTTTATAAAGCAGGGATGGACTTGCAAATTTTAGTGTAATTCGCACCGCTCAACGGACTGTTCTAGCGGATACGTTTGAAGTAGGTGAACACATTATAATTTGACCAGTTGCAAACAAATTCAGTGTTCTATGAATTTGTGATTTCCTAATATGTGTAATAAAAGCACGCGTGTGATCTTTTATTAAATATATATTTTTTTCAATTATCAATATCCATTTTTAAACTACTGTTAAGTGAAATAATACAGTTTTTAATAAGATATGAATTTAAAATATTAACTTAAAAATCCTCCATTAATATTGGAGTATGTATGTTCTGTGAGGTTAATGGTTAACGGCTATTTACTGTGTTTATATAATGAGTTATCCTTAGTATAGCAAAATTTCATTTATTCCAATGGCCACAATCAGGCGGCCCGTATAAACCCTCGAAGTACAAACGAGTTATCGTTTTTTTCTAAAATAATAAATTAATTCTTATATTTAATGTATTGAATAAATTTAAATATTTAAGAAAAAAAGAAATACGTATTGATACTGAATAGTATTTATTAATTACGAAATTACATACATAATTGTATGTAATTTCGTAATTCATAAATATTAAATTATTATGTGGAAAGTATCACTAGTCTTTAATTAATTTTAGGTAATAAATTTTAAACATTAACTTTTAATATTTAAAACTATTGGTGTATCTGCATTTTTATGGAAAATACATACACAGACTAGAAAAACATAATGAAAATTTTTGTCGCTACGAATACGTGCGGTGAATGAACTTACCGGTCAATGGGGCCAAAAACATTATACCTGCATTAGACTATGCATTTCAGGTTTTTTTGTTACAAAGGAAATAGTTTTCTCACACGCATGTAACTAAATAAGTAATTTAAACTTTTTCTCATCTGTACATATTACTACATGCATATGAATATAAATAAGGAACATACACCAAAAAACCACTTTTTGAAATTTTTGTCTGTCTGTCTGTCGGTCTGTTTGTTCCGGCTAATCTCTGAAATGGTTGGACCGATTTTAACTGGACTTTTTTTGGCAGGTAGCTGATGTAATAAGGAGTAACTTAGGTTACTTTTATTTTAGAAAAATTTCACGCGGACGTAGGCGCGGAAACAGCTGGTATTAAATAATAAAATACGACTTTTTTATTATTTATTACGTGCAAAAGTTGATAGATTGAAGATATTTGAACTGTTCATTTTCTTCAAATAATGATAATTTAGTTTGCAATTAACTAACTCAAAGGCTAATTAAAAATTTATTTTGGTACACTATGTTAAAAAATACATACAAGACGTTATAATAATATTTGATTAGACCTGCCATCATACATTCATTATCTATCATTCACCGGTGAACATACAAGTAGGTATGTGTCCTTTATAAAACCCCTTAAATGAGGTACAGGTCTGATACAGATAATATCTACCAACACCCTGCAGGTTATATGAGTATATCTGTATTTACCTAAACGGGGTTTTTACTCGAGATTTTTCAGCATCAGCCATCTCTTGCAATGAGCCAGTTCACTCAGTTATATATATGTATATATATATTATATATAACTGAGTGAACTGGCTCATTGCATTCACACACTTACAATTTACAACAATTCACATACAATTTACTGAACAGATATAAACAACATAATAAAAAATTATTTACGTGAAAATTATTAGGTATATGAAATATATGTATTCAAAGTTTTATAAATAATAGATGATATAATAAATATAAAAAATTCTATTTGTAGAATAATAATTTATCTAAACGTTAGACTAGTATGACCTGATAGGCTCCAAGAGGTCTATGTCTGTACAAAAATCTATATCGTCTCTTGCATTCACTTCCCGAAAGTTACTAAAACCGATCAATACTTTCACATGATATCTTTATGAAACTAGGAGTATTAAAATAATATTTCATCCGTAGGTTACATGTAGGTCAAAATGGCAACACGAGTGCTAATTTTTGGTTGCTTTGTGGCCTTCGCATCAGCTACTGTAAAACTCCAAGAGATATTTTCCTGGAGGGTTTTGGACTGGAACTACCCTGATTCCTATTCACGACAAAATGCCCTTGCCTCTGGAGCTTTGACTCCGGAAAATGCTCTGCCAGTTGGTATTGAAAGATGGGGAAATAAATTATTTGTCAGTGTTCCTAGATGGCGATCAGGTATGTATTTTTTTATTAGTATGTTTGGAGTATCGTAAATCCTTCGACTTATCATAAGAAATCGCTCTCCTTATTTTAAAGCTCAGGTCTACAGTCTTTAACATTTATTTATTACAATATTACAACTACTTCATTCAAACTAACAAAGTTAAGAATACTTTATTCATTTTTATAAAAAAATTACAGTATCCCTACTGTCCAGTTTGGTTATCCACTTCGGCATAAAGTACAATGATATTGTATTTAATAAAGTATTAATTAACAAACGTATAAAAAACTAAAGCTTGTAACTGTTTATTCATTTAGTAATTATTATTACTACTATTTAATAATAATGTTAGTATATAACACATATTTTACATAATTCTGTAGATAATCCAATTTATTAGATACATTATAATTCAAACCAATCCAGTGCAGACAAATGAGGCAATTATCTATGCATCCTTAACATACTAACAGTGAAATCGTATTTATGTTCATTTAATACATTTATGTTACTAGTGTTGTACTGTTATTGCAACAACGTAACATTATAGAATCACCTCGGTATCAGTCTGTCATTTCTGTCAGGCATTTATCTTAAGAATTGTAGATCCTTATCAACTTCACAACATATTGTATGACAATCGAAATGGATACTTGCTTTTGAAACCAAGTTTTTAAAACTAGTTCAAAGTCATTAACATCTATTAAAAACAGTCAGTTTATTTAATGATATGCAATGTCGCTATTGACGCGATTTATAAATTCTTAAAAAATTCACAAAAATGAAATTAAATAAATTAAAATCAACAATAATGTCTATAAATTCTCCCGATATAATAATAAAACATTCAGCAAAATTACCAAAAATTAAATTAGTTAATTTGTCATTTTAAAACTATTTCAATAAAGGAACTAGAGTAGATTGCACATATATGTATTTATTAACTTTTAATACAGATTTAGATAAATACGTCTCAATTATCTTATCTAAAATTAATAATAATATATCTTAAATTATGATCGTTATCCCAGATATCAGAGTCAGCGAGTGATGTACCTACACAACACTTGATATGATCACTTTTTATTTAATATATGTAAAACCGACGTGCCAGACTGGTTAAGCCTACAATCGTTTCCAGAATTAGATATATTTGATATGGTGTTTCCATCAATACGGTCAAAATACAAAGTAACAAATAGCTTTTTGATGCCGGTCTGATTTGAAGTCATGGGTTTTGGATACAATTTGAGTTGTAAACTATTGAGCCATTAAGTAACTACTTTATATTGCAAAAACTCTCTTGGTCTGTAGTCTCTCATTATCTCTCTCTTGGTGTGTAGCTTTCTATATATCCATATATATAAAATGTATAGTACATTACACGTGCCTATAGGTATTAATTATATCCATGTGATACATCACCATCCTGTTCTAATGATAACATGGACCAGTCATGACCTCAGAGAATATTGAACTCTATATAACCAGTTTGGTAAACGTAATTACTTTACCCCTTTTTTCACAACAAAGTCAAACGACTACATCTATTATATTTATTGAAACGTTTTGTATCCTTTTTTTTCGTGACATTTCTGAAAAACATATAACAAAAAGGCAAATACTTAAAACGGGTTCATTGGAATCTTTGCGTTATACTGTATGAATCATGCCATATTGCCTTGATTCTCCCTTACTTGTCATATTTATCAGGAAAACCTTGTGTCAATTTGCATCTAAATTATCATTTTAATGTTGAAAATAACTAAATAATATAAGAGTTTTCACTGTACCTATTTATCTGTCTTGTGTTAGTTTTAATTACTAGGCTACTTCTATTTTCATTCTGACCATCCAAAAAGTAAGGAAGTATTCAATTCAGTTGCAGATACTTATTTTATATGTGTGTTACGTCAACCTACAGTCAGTTTATTTTTTTTTATTTCATGGTATTTATATTCCTACTGATGTTATAACGTAAGAAAGCATTTTTTTTAAACAATGTGTAGCCATTACTTCATTAATGATCTATCAACTGTGCTGTATAAATATGAATTAGATTTATTATAATGGTCTCAGATCTCAATAACACACGTCCATATCTATTTTGTATATAATATGCCCGTCATACAGTAGCCAATATAAATATTCTTACCGAATGAATAGGTTAATATGTATATTACATAACGACTTATCTTCATAAACAAATATTTAAAAAAAGAAACTCGGAATATTTTTGTTTCCTCGTCTATTTGAAGGTCAATATGTATTTTGAATAATTATACAGGTTGCGATCATTTAATTAAAATGATATGCAAAACTAATCACACACACACAGTGTCACACACACACAGATCCAACAAAACATTAATCATATTTATATATAAAACTGCGTTTATATAATTTAAAATTCCTTACAGGTATTCCAGCTACTTTGAATTATATAAAATTAGACGCACCTTACGATCCATCGCCAAAACTAAACCCCTATCCGAGTTGGAAAGGCAACGAGCTGGGCAACTGTGATACAGGCCTAAATACAGTATACAGAATCAAAGCGGATAGGTGCGGGCGTCTGTGGGTCTTAGATACTGGCACTTATGGTTATGGTAAGCTACATCTTAAGTATATATTGTATAACTTTTTCATTTCACTTCTTATTAAAAGTTAGTGACCAATATTTTTTTATTCAAACATAAAGTATAATTAGTTATAAAAATTGAAGACTTCTATAGTAATAAATACACAAATAGAAATTGCCAAAAGCCTTTAGGAAGGAATTTTCCGGTTTCTTAAATTAACCGTACAAAATAACAAATAACAAATAAAAAAATATTTCAGATAACGCCACAAACCTCTGTCCGTACACTCTCAACGTATATGATCTACACACCGACCAAAGAATTCGAAGATATGTGTTACGCCCCGAAGACATAGTCTCCACAACTTTCATTGCCAATATCGCCGTGGACATTGGATCCAGCTGTGAAGACACATTTGCTTACTTTTCTGATGAGCTAGGTTACGGTTTAATCGTGTACTCTTGGGAAAAGAACAATTCTTGGAGATTCAGTCATAGTTATTTCATGCCTGATCCTCTCACAGGAGATTTCAACATAGCTGGTCTTAATTTCCAGTGGGGAGCCGAGGGCATATTTGGAATTGCACCATCACCAATCAAAAGTGACGGATATAGGACTCTTTACTTTACTCCCCTGTCAAGCCACACAGAATTTTCTGTATCCACTAGTATTTTGCGAAATGAAAGCAAGGTTGAAGATGGTTCATTTAATGATTTCAAAGTAGTAGGTGTACGAGGACCGGACGCACATACAACAGCCAAAGTGATAGACGATTTAGGAATTCAACTTTTCAATTTAATCGACCAAAATGCCATCGGCTGCTGGTATTGGGGTCGGCCATTTAAACCACAAAACATTGCCGTAGTAGATAAAGATGACGTCGGTTTAATATTCCCATCGGACATAAAAATCGATGATAATCGCAATGTTTGGGTGATATCAGACCGTATGCCTGTGTTCTTAGAAGCCGAATTGGATTACAGTGATATAAACTTCAGGATTTACTCAGCTCCTCTTGATAGTCTAGTAAAAGAAACTGTATGTGAACCCCCAGCTCGTGTACAACTGAATCCGCATACTCATATACAGCCACAGTCTGCCATCTACAATACAAACCCAGGATTGACATGGCATATCTCTAATATACAAAATAAACCAAGAATTCCTCAATCTCAACGGGGATTTCTCAGGAATCCGTTAGATGACAATATAATAGCAACAACACCGAGCTATATTGATTTATACTACCCTAAACAAACACCACAGTCTATTGGTTACAATTTACGATCTTCTACAGAGTCTAATAAAGGGCCATGGTGGTCAAGACCTACTTATGACGTTTACGAAGATTCCTATAGAAATTGATTCATCATATCTGAATGTATTTTATATTTCTGATCCTCGCAGTTATCCATAATTAATAGAGATAGAATATCGAACGACGAATTAATACTTGAATTAGTTGTGTGTAATATTTTAGTCTATAATTTTAAATGCCTATAGACACGATACCACAGACTATTTCAATCAAATACATTTACTGTATTTGATTGAATTTCATTTCATTCATAGTGGAATGTGTTTGTTTGTGATTCTTGTAAGTTCGCTATTTTATTTTTTTATATATTGGATACTTAGTATGATATGCATTTTATTGTAACTACTTTTATGTTTACAAGATTATTGGCAATATTGTACCGCGTTGCGGTATAATATTGGCACTTATAATATCTAAAGCTATTGTCTTGTACCAGATGTCTATAAATCTATATGTTTTGTTACTTCCCTCTGTGAGGATGATATACGTACTTTCAAGTGTGTGTGTGAGTGGGTGTGTGAGTCGCTCAGTTCTTGAGGAAGATCTATCCCTTATGTTATAATACATTACGTCATATGTAGGAAATTTACAAACAATAATATATATTAATATAAATAGAAGATGTACTGCTACATTTATATTTACTAGTAAGAATATCTTTTCTTATAAGTATTTAATATGTGAGCATATTGCAAAATATACTTTCATATTAATATTCCAGTAATCGTGGTACATAATTATGCTATATACATATCATTTATAGCATTATATACGTGTACTACAAACTCATATTTTTACCTATAAAATACAATAAATAATAACGTAATATTTTTTGTGTTACATAAACGCTTAAATTTATTGTGTTTATTCATAGATACATATTATCTATATTCATCAAATATTCTTCGTTCTTAGCGTATGATAACATTCTGTTTGATGTATCCTATTAATGTATGTGAAAATATGACGTTATATTTACAAATACAGCGTCATATTTACTTAGTCGTACTTGTTTCAATACTTATTAAATCTAAATTAAACATACAAAAAAAATTGTTTTAGTACTTTTTTAATATTATGTAAGATGACAGGTACCATCATAATTAGAGTATACTCGATTTATCTTAAATGCTATGAAATGATGTATCCACAATTAATATTTGGTGCATTCTTCACATATTGTCATGATCATCTCCTTCTTCCTTTCCTTCCTACCTTATCCCATTTTTTTAGGGTCGACGTAATATGTTTTTCTCATCTATTCATTCCTGTTCATAGTCATTTATAAATAAATATAATATGTAATGTATAATTATATTACTATTACATACTTATTTCACATTACATATTATATTTTTATGACTATGTGAAAGATAATATGGTAAGAAAGGGAGTAAATAACGATACTCCCTTTCTTGCCATATCATCTCTTTTTCGGCCTTTCTCTGCTCTTATATCCATTCACATTTTTGTGTTAACACCTTCCATAAAATTCTTCACATATTATATTTTTTATGGAATTGAAATGGTAACTAGGCTGACAGCCTAGCCGATAACCGTAACCTATAGAATGTCTACATACAACACCACAGAAATCACAACTGGGTTACTGGATTTATTACAAGGCCAAAAACTTTACTCTACTCAAGGCATTAGTGTTTTTATTTGCACGAGTAAAAGATACTGCGGTACCTTGTATATATTATATACTCCTTCACGCACATCAGCCCTCAAACGCACAGCTTAAAAATTATCTTTATTTAGGATTAAACTACAATATAGTCCTTGTGTTTGAGATTAATTCCTCCAAAATAGCTGAAAATGTATTAGGATAAAAATTATATGTAAAATTTAATGTAATCCTAGATTATTTAAAAACACAATTGCATCAGCTAGGGGACTCTGTTTTTATAAACAGGCTGACAGCTGGTCGGATCTGCTAATATTAATATGTATTATATATATGGCAATTTGCACCTTAATTTACTTGTTTATATATTGGGTTCAATAAGTCTTATCTCAATGATACGCTAATTCAACGACTGTATTAACATGCAACACGGTTTCGTAGTCAGTGAGTGTAGGTTGAATTGAAGGTAGTGTTTGTTTCAGAGGAGCGAGCTACTGCGATACTAACAATTAGTGATACGCCATAAATGGCTTTATTTTAAAACATTTGGTAAGTTTCCAAAAGTTATTAATAGACAGATTATGGAAAGATTTCATTACATCTGACATTTTCGAAGATATTTTAATAGAAAATGTTATTATGGGAAGTTCCTCTCTTTAAGATATAAAAATGGATGATAAGAAATTATATTGTAATCTTGTATTTTTCCAATTATTTCAAACGTAATAAAATATTGAGTTTAATGGTAACAATCCAAACAAGAATAAACAACATTGTTCAGAAGACTCAAATTACGTAAAGTTATTGTGCATATTTGTCTACTTTACTTAATGTATTATATATATTTTTTATTCGTTTTCCAATTCACACAGTGCTATCTAGTTCTAAGCTAAGCAGAGCTTATCGTTATTGACACGAGACAACTGATATATATATATATATATATATATTATAAATACATATAAAAAACTCCCAGGCCGATACAAACAATCGTACTCATGAACACAACTGCTTGTACAGAGCGAGGAAATGAACCCGCGACCATCGGTGTGCTAAACCGCTACACCACCGACACTATCAAATATTACCATACAATCATAATTACCATATAATCAGATGAAACCATTACAATACTGAGTGCACTCATTAATTTAGACCGAAACTTCAGCACGTGGCACATACAATATAATGTAAAGTTGTACATGAAAATTGAGGAAAGAAAACATTTTCATGAAGTTATATACAAAATACAAGTACCTATATACAAAATAACATAATTATCTGGATATAATAGAAAAGGAGTTTTAGTGTAGGTATATATATATATATATATATACATATTTTTTAATGAAAATAATATTTGGAATATAGTAAATCATGAAATCTATACAGAATTTACAAATCCTTTAAATACCTAAATATGTCTTACTTATTTTTGTTTTTTTATTAAATAACCTCATGTTTGAAAGTCATAGAAAATAAAAAGGAGCGTATCTAAGCCAAGATTTGCACAAGTTCTAATAACAAACTACACATATATTAGCTGCAAACACAGATTACCATTAAACCTAATATCTTAATCTAATTATTGTTCTTATAGAGTAACTAAATAATCTTGTATAATAACGTGATTTTACAATTAAAGTATAATAAAAGTGTTATGAATACGTCCAAAGATGTTCATGGGTTTGTCAAATTTAATTTTGTTTTTTTCCAAGCAGTGATTAATGATACGTCTATACAAATAGTAAACTATTTGAAGAAACAGCTAATTAATTTATCGTTGATTAATAGACATAATACTCGATATACCCACTTTTAATACTATTTTTTAAAAGTGGGTACTCAATATATCGAGTATTATGTTCATTTTAATGTCAACAATCTATAAAACCTCTGATTGTTCCAACTAGGATTACTCTCGCAATGATATTTTGTACAGAAACCTATATAAACAATTTTTTACTAATCTAAATCTCATTAGTTTAAAATATATGACTCTAATCACAACTATTCATGTGTTCTGATATAAACAGCTCAAAATACGAGGATATTGACGATAATACAATGACAACAGAGAAAAATAATTCTGAAAAGGATGATTATGATCCGTTAGAACATCGCCAAGTTGAGAAGCCCAATTCGTAAGTACATTGTACTATATCTTACTTGTCCACCTAACACTATTATACTGTTGTGTTGTTCGAGTAGGTATCATATAAAAAAATATAACAAAGTAGATTTAAAGCATTTTTACTATATTGGTTACCTTTTATTATCCAATACCAGAAAAAAAAAAGTATGAAGTTGGTTAATATTACAAAGAAAATTAATTACTTTTATTTATCATTTATAATCGGAAATCAGATTGTTTGCGTTATAACTTAGAAAATTAAGTGCAAAAAGTAAATTGATTATATTTTCAAAATCAAAAATATCTAAATAAAAATTGATGTAAATTCATTTCACTGTTTTTAATTCAATTAGTCGGTGAAGCCATGGCTGCCATAAATAAACTATTAATAATAATGAAAAATAATTATAAGAGTGAATACTATATGCAATATAATAATTGTGTTTTGATGAAGATTCACCATACATCGTAATTCTTATCACAGTAAGTAATGATTGAAACTTGAAATACAAACATTAAATTAATATTATCACTTTCTCATCATTCAATTTATTTAGGTGTTTATTTGCTATGCTCTTATTACTGTTATTTATTGTATATCTATATTAATGTATTTGTAAAAAGCTTTATTACCTTCTTTGTAATGTAATAGAAAAGAATGTTTCAGAGACTTAAGAGCTACAGCCAATATAATAAAAGCATCACTCGGATCTGGCCTATTGGCTGGGCCTTTAGCATTTTCCAATGCAGGCTGGGGAGTCGGCATATTCGGAACAATTGTGATAGGGATTATATGCGGACATTGCATCCATATACTGGTTAGTAATATGTTGATGCATATTTAGAAATTTAATTATGTAATATTAAAGAGGAACACGGATTTCATTATCGTATATTTGAAACCTGATGGCAAGTGGTAATCATTCATACACGAACAGCACCACGGACATCAGGTGATTATTTGATTCCTGTGATGCCATTCATGTGTTGCCATTCCGCACTAAGATGTCACGTCTCTCCTCTAATTACACTGCCTAATCTCACATTTGATTCGAAATATTACCTAAAAAGTAGGTTGTTTGCGTATGAAATAGGTAAATAGTTGAGACTAAGGTACCCCTTTCCCCAATACAGACAAATATTTACGAAGTCCATCTGATCTCAAAATAATAAAATACTAAGACAATAAAATAATCATTATTGGAAAATACAGATATACGCGAATAATATATGCCAGTATTCTCTGTAATTATTTAATAAAAATAGATCTTGTTCTCCAGATCACATAAACATAATTTACGAAATTATATTGTCAATGTGTTAATACTAAATCTAAATATTAAACTTCAGGTGAAGACATCACGTGAATGTTGCAAAGTGGAAAAAATACCATCGTTAGGTTATGCTGAAACATGTAAAACTGTGTTTAAAAATGGGCCTAAAGCACTTAGACGATATTCTAAAGCTGCCAGGTAAGATATTATTTATAACTTTGTATATATCTAAATAGTATAATATTTTATGACCACTAAAATTAGGATCATCAATGTATATATACATACATACACATACACATACACTTAATTTTAAATCTTAAAAAAACTATGTAGCATTCAATATTATTTCGTTGTTTTTTCGATCAAGTTTTGAACTGGCATAGCTCTAGTAAGAATAAATTTATTTAAATTCACTGTGTAAATTCTTTTTTTTTATAAGCAACTCAAATTTATCTCTTTCTGTCGTCTCATTTAACTCCTGTTGTCTTAGCGCATATAGGTCAATAATTGTAAGTATAATGCTAAAACAGAGCACGCAGAAAATAAACTAGGCTCTCAGTTTTAAGCTAAAATATAAATTTTAGTTAAATATTTTTAATCTGATTTGTTTATTATTTGATTTTCTTTTTAGTATTTTCGCTGAATTCTCCTTATTATCCACGTACGTCGGTGTATGCTGTATATATACTGTTCTTATATCAGATTCAATCAAGCAGGTATGTCTCCTTATTATTTAAAATAAATAATAAAATTATATTAATAACTATAGTAATCGTCAAAATAAGTAATTATTCTGAAGGAACTTTTAAAGTAATAATACAATTGTATACAATTATTATTTTGCAACTTTTTTATATTTTAGTAAAAATAGATTATTTGTACTTAGATGAAATTTATTCAAAATTTATATATAAATTGTACAGTTTTCTGATAGATTAAGGGTTATCTAAGTGTATTAAGTTAAATTGAATGTACTGTCGAAAATATTATTTCATACTTTAGTCAAATCTAAATTGAACAGATGTTGATATGCGCTTACTCATTGTGAAACTCAGTTTTATTAAATATATCCTATATGCATATATCATATTACACCTTTTGTATAGTATTTTAATAAAATTTAAATGTATTGTTAATGTTTACAATTTATTATTTCAGCTGGTGGATCGCTACGTTCCGTCTGTAATATTACCAGTGGAATATTACTGTTTAATTATATTGATACCTCTATGTTTACTATGTCAGATAAAATATTTGAAATTTCTGGCCATATTTTCACTTTTAGCAAACATTTTACTCGTAGCAACCTATGGTATATGTCTGTATTATATTTTTGGAGATGAAATATCCTTTTCTGATAAGAAAGTAGCAGGCAATCCAGCACGATACCCTGCATTTATTTCGTAAGTATTAAATTAAATTTAGGAAGTAAGTAATCACCAAAATCATATGGAAATACAACGTAGGAGGTGTCACAAATTCTTTTTTAAAGTTTTTGGAAATGTTATTCTGTGAGTTCGATTTGTCATTTTATTGTTTTTTTTCTTCATTATTAAGATACTTTTTGTCGATACTAAGTATACTTATCATCCTAGTTGTCAATTCTAAAGTTATTGTATACAACATAAAACTGGAATTACCTACCTGTATATCGCACTAGCTATTTCCAGCGACTTGTCCGCTTATTTAGATAAAGGATAACCTATGTCTGTCCTTATGATCGTCCTCTTTCTGCTAAGCATTAAGATATGTTGATAATCTATATCCGTTTTATGACGTAATTACCTTTATGTGAAACATTAAAATCCTTCAGCCCTTTAGTCGTGAAATAACAAACAGATAGACATACTTGTTATATAGTATGTATTGTCTGACGAAAAAGCGATTACACCATTTTATTAAACCCGTTAAATGGACATGTCTCAGTGTAATAGAGTACAACCAGACTAGATTGTCTAGATCACAGCACTTTGAGACGTGATCCAATTTTTAAGTTCTCTTTTTAGTAATATAAAGTAAAACCCACGTTCAAAGTTGTCATATTATTAAGGAAATACCATGATATCTTGACAACAACTATGAAAATAGTGAAATGCAAATTATAATTTACAATAGTGTCACAATTTATTATTTAACATTATAATTAGTATCCAAACGACGAAAAGTTCTCTTGACAGAATTATAGATAAACTTGTAAACAAAATACTATCAAAGTACTAATATTTATTTATTTACTATATACACGTATTCATCTACATTCCATTTTATTCATACGCCTATCAGTTTATTTATTACATTTTCAACACTAAACGCCTGAACTGATCTTATTAAATATTGTCCTGAGGATATATTGTATCACTAGAATGAACATAGGCTATTATTTGTCTCGTAAAAATCAGACAAAGACGCGAGTAACAGCTAGTTTTGCATTAATCCAGCCGTAACCAATTGTACAGAATTAATGTAAAAAATAAGTTGTTGATAGCTAAAATTAATGTTATTTATAATAGAATTTTAATTAATTGTGTAATTTATTTTTCTTTGTCAGTAGGTCTATTAGATAGTAAAACGGAACACGAGAACTAAGATTCACTAATTGTGACCTCGATAATAGTCGAATTAGACGATCTAATTCGACTATTATCGACATACATATTTAAATGGCATATAAAAAAAGGTCGCGATATAATTTCTACATAGAATTCGAAATCAAATTTTTGGGTATTGTAATTTGTGTTAATTCTAACACATTTTAATAAAATACAGGTCCGAACGGGTAAATTTCATTAATAGAACCATATATTATATTTTCTGTACTACTAACTACCCGCGATCACCTAATTTTTTGATAACTGACAGCGGTTTTGTTGTGTAAATGTGATAAACAGACAGACCCACTTTAGTATTAGAATAGATGAATTAATGTGGATTGGATGGATGAATTTAATAATAAATATCAACGACGAAAAGACCTAGTAAAATCTCTGTTTTATCTATTTCTGCCGCTAAATAGCTTGAGCACGCAGAACACGCAGCAGCTTACTTTGCAGCTAACAAAACAAGCTGCTGCGTGTTCAGGTTTAAAGAATAAGGTATGGCACTTAAATTATAAGGTACTTAGGGAGGCATGACACCTTAGTTCTCCTAAATTGCAACGCATGCTACTAGCTACGATGTTATAAAGTAACTACTCTTTATTAGCTTAATAAAAGTTAATAATATTTATTTTCATTTCAGTACAGTTATCTTTGCCATGGAAGGTATTGGTGTAGTGATGCCAGTAGAAAATAATATGAAAAAACCGAGACACTTCCTCGGTTTCCCAAGCGTCCTTGTGGTGGCAATGTCCATAATTGTATTCCTTTACGGCACACTGGGTATGTTCGGATACTTTAGATATGGAGATGTATTAAGAGGGTCCATCACTTTGAACTTGCCGATTGAAGAATGGTTAGTACATAAATCGAAATATCTATCTAAGGTGTTTATCCAATTTCTAAACAGTTTTAGAATTCTTTAAATTAATTGCTTTAAGAGGTTCCACAATCGCTGTCAATCACATAAATAATTTGGTTTGGATTGGCTTGAAAACCTCCAGTTATATTGTAAACCAACCAAAGAGTGTCTCAAGGTATCCAGAACATGTAGATAAGGGTTAATTGAGAAAATTTTGTTTCCTAACAGATCGACCATCGAACCCAGTTTCTTAAATGCACACGTCACGGAGGTCCCATTAAAATTATAAAAATGTATATATACTTTTTCAAAACTCTTCATCCTATTCATAAAAATTAAAACATACTGCATATCTTTTAACTATTGTATGAATATACAAATTGGCTTGTTCGAAGATACATAGGGCAAAACAGTTAATGGCTAAAGAAATATTATTTTACTGATTTCGTGTATATGAATATCTTTTTAAATTTTATTTCAGGCCAGCAGTATGTGCAAAAATATTTATAGCGCTATCTATTTTCTTCACTTATCCACTACAATTCTTTGTAGTTATCGATATATTCACGAAGTACACTGAGCCTCATATAAAAGAAAAATATCAATTTACCACTCAAATTGTTGCAAGAACAGTGGGCGTATGTTGTTGTGGTAAGAACAAGACAAACTTCTTTCAATATTTACTAATAACTATATCATTCTAAATATTACCCGCAAGCTCATCTGATTTTTTTAAATGAATGACAAGCCATATTCGTCCTCATGATACAGTCTATATTTAGTTTTAATTACGTTTAATCGTAAAAGATAGCAAATAGACATTTTTGTATTTGTAATATTGATACAGATTATTTAATTTTACAACTACTAAATAATTTTAATAACTATTTAGCAATAAGTAATACAGAACCAATTTCATATTTGGTTTTTCTCCTCTTATACTTTGTGGTGATCTTTGTTCCCATAATAGCCTATCAAGACATTAAGAAAGAAGTAGTTACAATAATTATGTTCTTTCTTCTTCCTCTGATGTTATATTAGGACTATACGGTGAGTATCTAATTCAATTTGATAATTAAATTAATTTTAACGAATTTCCAGTGGCTATCGGCATCGCTCTACCACTATTAGAACAAATCATTAACATCGTCGGAGCCTTCTTTTACTCCACACTGGGGCTTATCATCCCCGGTATCATAGAGACGGTGTTCCGTTGGAACAATCTCGGAAGACTCAAATGGATTTTATGGAAAAATCTACTAATCGTCTTATTCGGTCTTCTCTGCTTAATATCTGGTTGTACCGTTACCATTATGGATATAATACAAATTCTTCATAGTAAAACAGTATAATATTAACAAAATTTATTTATAATTTTAACTAGTTGAATGGCATGACACTCCTAGCAATTTGCAACAAATAAACAAACAGTATTTTACTACATTTAAATATAAAATTTCTTATAAAATCACCTAATACTTTAAGAAGCTAACTGTACACCAAAAAACTATAACCTATTTAGATTAATTCCAATTAGAATTTATTATTGCATAAACTAGAATATAATTATTTATTATGTAAATTATTTTATTATTTTCTTATTACTAATTAATATGGAGGTTTTATTATTATTGTAATTTCTAGTGAATTAGAGGAAATGAGCTAATCTCTAAGTAAAAGGCTAACTTTAAACGGCTATTAACAAAGATTAGATTAGATTGTTATACGACAATATTAATAATAAAGTTTCCTTGTAATTTTATATGTCATATTATAGAACTGTAAAAAGCAACCATGTAATTTGTACAAATTATTTGTCATAGGATCACGCATTTTCTCAGTGATTAGTAAACAAATTTAAATAGTTCGTATTATCACAGAATAAGGACATGATCATATAAAAATAAATATACATGTACGTACATCAAAGTTTCTTACATTTTATCTAATTATTGTTATCTTGATAATTGTGTTAATAAGTTATTAAACAAATGATAACCAGAATGTTACAATAAAATAATTAAGCCCAGATGAGTGTTTTGTTTAGTACATGTTATACTACTTTTCGACATTCATATATGTTTTTTACCTATAATTTCAAAGCTATAAATTTAATACATTTATTCAAGAACCTTAAATACTAGAAGCATTTAATGTATTTTTCAGTTGTAGTAATATGGGAACAAATGATAATAATACAGAAGGAAAGGAGTATAATCCGTTTGAACACCGAGTAATTGCCAAACCTAATTCGTAAGTAAATTTATTGTATATTTCAATTACTAAATTACTATTACTTGTTATCGATATATCTACCTAATTTTAACAACATATATACGTATATATATATACTTTATATGGATTCATAAAACGTTTTGAAAGGATACATAATAATTTTACTGAAATAGTAAATAAGTTGATGAACCATCGAATATGAAATGGTAACTGTGGTACCTCTCTTGAATTGCCATTTCAGTTTATCAGAATGTGATGCTTCGGTAACCAGTAATTTAATTTTATACAAAGTGTACTATTGTGTAAAGTTTATCACCAATGACTAAACTGAGTTTTTTTCGAATCGAATTGAAAATTTCATTTTCTCATCTATACTGAATTCTCAATAACCTATATTTGTAAATTTTTTCTGTAACTTTACCCATACCATATCTGTGCCCATACTAATAAATATAAAAGTGAAAGTCTTGCATATTATTAAAAAGAAATGTAAATAAACAAGCCACTTCCGTATAGGCCGGTACTGGTAGAATAAATATAAAAAAATACCACCTTTTATGTTCATTGTATTGCAAATATTTGTAGAAGTGAAATTGATTATTAAGTTGACATAGTGAACTTGGTGACAACCATAACTATGTAATAAATAAACCAATATTACAACTAATTTTGTAAATATTTATTATGCAAAAGCGCCTACAAATTAAATGTGGCAACATTTAAATACTGTTCGTGATTAGAGATCAACCAACTAACAGTTACTATTCTTAAAGGCAGAGACACAGTATTTGTGAACATTTCTATTTAAATTTACAGTGATGTCAGATCTTTAGCAAATCTAGTAAAGGCTTCTCTGGGCTCTGGTTTGCTTGCAGTGCCATTAGCCTTTTCTAACTCTGGATGGGGTGTTGGCATCATAGGCACGGCTATCATAGCATTCGTTTGTGCTCACTGTGCTCATATATTTGTAAGTATTAACTAAAATTATTATCTTAAAGATCTAAGATAATATTTAAAAAATTGCTTAAAGTATAATTTAATTTATCACAATTCTAAGACGTGTTTACTTGCACACTACTGTATGTTTTACGAGTAAAAAAGAAAATAATAATAATAATAACGCTTCGTCAAAAATGTTGTACAATGTCAATTATTGCACGAGGTGCATGCCCTAGATGCATTAGCCTCCACTGTAGTCCGATCTCCCAGTTTATGGTACAACCAGTACTAATTGACGTCAATAGTAATTTGATGACGGAACAAACTAAAGCAGCAAAATTATTTGTATTTATGTTAGTATTATGAAGTGGAAAGTCTGATGTCTATTTAACTATACTTTATCACAGGTATTAATAAAATTATTTTACTATGTCGTAACAGGTTGAAGTATCACAAGAATGTTGTCGGCTAGAAAAAACGCCTTTGCTCGGGTACGCAGACACATGCCGAGCTGCGTTTATGGCTGGTCCAAAAGCTGTCAGGCGCTTCGCTAGATTTTTTAGGTATTCATAAAATTTTAAAACAAATCACAGACTATGGCATGTTTTTTTATTAAAAGCACGGATATTACACCAGATAACATACATAAATAGCTGTGTCGAAATATTTACCTGTTACTGAAGCATAACAAATAATAATCTTAGTCATTTTTTGTCAGCATATTTGCAGAATGTTCTATTTTATGCACATACATAGGAGTATGTTGCATATTTACCGTACTCATAGCAGATTCAATCAAACAGGTAAATCATAGAACTCTATTATACTATATTAATAAAAAGAAAAACGACCGTATTACGAGCAATAAATTATTGTTTTCGTTTTCAGCTCTTTGACACGTACTACCCAGTATTTATATTATCAATAGAATATTACTGTCTCATTTTATTAATACCGCTATGTTTAATGGTACAAATAAGGCATCTCAAGTTCCTAGCCCCTATCTCATTTATAGCCAATGTTCTGCTCGTGGGTACATTTGCGATATGTCTATATTACATCTTCAAAGATGGACTATCGTTTTCTGATCGAAAATTTGCCGGTGAACCTTCGAGATTACCAGCATTCTTATCGTAAGTACATAGAAAATCTTTTTTTTAACTACTGTCTTTATCAAAGGTACATTAAAGTAAATTGCAAAATAACATTCATAAATATTTGTGTATTTTCTATATATATTATGCATGCATTAAAAAGTGTATTTAAGTGCTTCTATCAGTTTGTCTCATAGAAATTACACATGCTCTACTTATTTTAAGGACTAGATGGCACAGTCCGATTTGTCGAAAATTGTTATTTTTATAATTATTATAATAATAATAAATAATATCAAGAAACTGATGCTATAAAATAATACTAACAGAATCATTATTTTTTTGTAATTCCACATTTTCAGTACAATAATTTTTGCAATGGAAGGTATAGGCGTTGTTATGCCAGTGGCAAATGCTATGAAAAATCCACAAAGATTCCTTGGGTGTCCTGGTGTGTTGTCCATTGCTATGCTACTTGTAGCGCTATTATACGGCGTCCTAGGACTATTTGGTTATTTCAAATATGGTGATGTACTGAGAGGTTCGATTACTTTGAACTTGCCCTTGGATGACTGGTGAGTGGATTCATTCATATATCGACACTTAGGTACCTACAAGTTTGTTACCTATAATTTTCAGAGCGTCATGTAGAGTCATAAGAGTAGAGATAAATTTGAAATATCTAATACGTAATAACGTTACGTGCGGTTTCTCTACCTAAAAAGATAAAAACACAATTTCAGTGATTAGAAAAAAATATTATATGAAAAATAGGATTAAGTCAAAGCCTGTCAAGGTTCAACCACCAAAATCAGCAGCATACCCCACTTATATTCTATACTGTTTTGTAATTACTGACTGAATGTCAAATGTTTGTTTTTTAACAAATTATAATGGAGTGGTGCACTCGCCCTTGCTATTGGTATACGCAGTACTTTGAGACTTGTTAGAGCAAGTGGCGAATGAAATAAAGAGCTTGAAGTGAAGTCATTATAGTACAATACTGGTAAATATAGTACATTGTGGAGAATTCCCAAGGAATTGACCACGATGGTTTCCAGGGGAGACCGCGTGGAGATCAACCTGAGATTAATATTAATCTCCTCTTCTTTATCAAATTTATGTCACTATCCTATTATGATATATTAGCAGAGAATGTTTCCGGCGATACTCATAACTACTGCTGAAAGTACTCTTAACGAAAGTCATAATCTTTATTTAGTATGTCCATTATATACGTTTTTCATTTGAATTAATTCTCTATATCTGTATTATATTTATTTCAGGCCAGCAATTTGTGCTAAATGTTTTATAGCCTTATCTATCTTCTTTACATATCCACTGCACTTTTTCTGCGTAATTGATGTTATAACGAGACATACAGAATCACGCATTAAGGAAAATTATAGATCCATTGCACAAGTATTGATAAGGATAACTGTCGTTTTATTCTGTGGTAAGATAATGTTTACAATAAAAATGAAGTTATTTAAAATGTCGTTTAACATACTAATTTGTATTTTACATATTAATTTAGCTTTTTTTATACTGTGATGGTGGCAAACAAGCATATGCCCCAACTGATGGTAAATGGTTACCGTAGCGCCTGAAGCACCGAGGGCGGCACATGCGCGTTGTAGACTTTTAAGAAACCTAAATATACCCTTCCTGAACAACCCCATGCTGTAGTCTAGTGACAAAACCACTGCAGGTAGTTCATTCTACAATCTAAGTGTACACGATCATCGGTGAAGCAAACCGCTAGACCACTGAGGTCGTCGAAGTATTAATGTAATTAAGTAAAGTATTAATTAAATTATTATTATAATTTTAGGTGGTATAGGAGTCGCGCTACCAATGTTGGAACAAATCATCAATTTAGTTGGCTCACTCTTCTACTCGATCCTTGGGGTTATCATACCTGGAATAATCGAAACCGTACTTCGTTGGGGAAAGCTGGGACGTTTCAACTGGATCTTATGGAAGAATATCTTGATAGTTTTATTCGGAGTATGTTCTATGGTTTCTGGTTGTGCAGTCACTATTGCGGATATTATTAGCATTGCAAGTAGAAAACTGAGTAGTCACTATTAATTCAATTGTTAATGTATGGTATAAAAACACCATAAATACTCTACTGTTCCATAAGAAAGAAGATATACAGTTTCGTGAGGTTACATTCTCTCTCAATACCTTTTTAGCAGTCATATTTTAATATTAAATTATATTTATTATTATAGTTTGTATAAGTCAAGACTAAACTGTAGTATAAGATTTATTGGAGAACGCAATTTGTTTTTTTTCTTGTGTTTATTTTTATAAACGGGAGATCGCCTTGAGTGTACTGCCCCGACTTACACGGCTTGAGTTTAATTTCAAATCTGACTGACATGACACTAAAAAAATTCCATATTGTATTTCAGATGATGTAAACATTAATAATATACCAAACCAATTCGACTAAATCTTGTCTAGTTGGTGTGGAATATACTATCTAAAAAAATTTCAGAAAAATATTATCTTTTCACTTCTGTGACCGTGACCGACACACACCTTTCTGTGTCATGCTTTTTAGGTTGACTGGAAGAGATATCTATAGAGATAAGTCCTCCAATGCAAATAAAATTTCTAATATGTACCTATTTAATTTTTTTTATCTAAGAGTGAAATAAAAAATGCATAAAGATTTTTTTATATCACTCAAATGCCATTTATCACTCAAGTTGTTAAAAGAAGATAATTATCACTTTACTGAAGAATTTTAAACAGTTAATAAATATACCTGTATATACATCTATAAAACAATTTTTTAAACGATGTGATAAAATAAGAAGTTATCTGTCACGTAGCCGATAAAAATCTTTATCTGAAAATACTAAACGTCAACGATGAATTTTTTAAGGGACAAGTGCAAAAATCTTTATGCGCATATAATCTGTCAATCTTAATATACATGACACTCATATAATTTTGTTTGATACACGTGTGTCCCAGTCATATCCAATATTGATTAAATTGTAAAATCACACTCAAGAAGATAATAGCAGAAAATGCTAGTCAGAGGCATTATCAACTATCGATGTTATGGGTAAAGCACTTGCCCAAATGCCCACATTTCACTCGGTATAATTGAATACGTGGCAGGAACGCCAGGTATTCGCTTTTATTCTAACCCTCTACCGCCGTTTCGAATAAATTTTTGGTTTCATATCCGTATTTGCTTCACTGAAAAGTCAGTCATAAATATAAAATGGTATACAATTCTTATGTATATTTTGAAAGATATTTTAATATTGATATTATTCTCAATAATATTTCAAAAATCTAAATTGAGTTCGTTTTAAGAATTAATAATTTAACTTAAGAATTTTTATATTAGTATACAAAAAACCCTTTGTCATCTCATTTCTGAGAATCATGACTACTTACATGACAGTTGTCATTTCATACAAAAGGTATTTAGATAACATCTTTTGCATAATATTCTTATACAAAATATTCTGCATTGCGCAATTGTTTAAAAAAAAATCTCATATCTCTTTATCGAAGATATTTATTTTTGTGGTATGATTTACTTAACTGGCTGGTACCTTAATTCTTTCTGTACACAAGTTGAATGGGTATTATTAATAGTATAAAACACTACATGTGCATCAGTTAGTAAACAGAATTTATTATAGATGGACAGTAATGGACACATACCAATAAATATTATTTTATTGTAGGTAATATAAAATAACATTAAATATACATTTATATAATACAAATAATAGTATATATTTGGTTAATAGTAGGAAATAATTTTAAATTTACTTGTTGTATTGATGATTATGTAATGGTGCACCCAACTGCGCTAACGGTTTACACTGGCGGGGCATCAGTGGAGGATGATAAGGTGAACATGAAGTCAGGTCAGTTAGCTCATCGTAACAAATTAACTAGGAATTTATGCCGATGGTTTCTAGGGAGAACCGCGTGAAGGGCAACCTGACATGATGTATTGTTAGTAATAGGGTCATCAGTCCACTTCTAACAATTCTTTTCCCCCTATATTATGCTTTATGCACAAAAGTAACAAGTTGAAATGACAGTTGTAGAATAAAATTTATGGTTAGTCTATATCAGTGGTCATTAATTTCGTAGAATTGATAATATTGAAAAGAACTGAGATAATTCAATCTTAGCACGCCTTCAGCATAATTTTTAAGAAAATTGCTGTGTAAAATAATACAAAATGATTGCGACCCACTAGCCGCTGTCAGCAGCTATATAGCCACTTCCTTAAATATTTTACTGAAAGTGGAATAGCTATTTCCTTACTAACTACTAACTAGAAATAAGCTCAAGTTTGGCAGTTCTTAATAGACCGGGTTGTTGTACATGATATATTTACTCTTAGACATTAAAAACTTTCTGAGATCTACGTCTAGGATCCTGTGATTTGTATAATTATTTGTGTATTTATAATATTTTATCATCAAATTCACTTTTTATAAAATACAAAATGAATATTTGCTCTAATAATGACTAAACCTCAACACAGTGCTCTTAATACTTCATTGAAACTCAATTGATTAAACAAAACAAATGCGTATTATACAAACCTTTTATTCGAAACTATTAGTTGATAGACACAATCAATATAAAACAACGTTGTACAAAATAGTAGGTACAGACATTACATAAGTACCTACTTATGTCATATTGCCAGAAATTTACGAGTTGGTCATTATTCGTTATATTTAAAGAACAAAATCGTTACAATTGACCTAAAGCCCCTACTACAATTGACTCGCCTTAATATGTGTACACGTTGGTGACTTAGAATATATTCTTTACTTTTAACATATAAAATAAGTATATTTTATTTGTGACTACTAGGTCAATTATTATGACATTTTAAACTATACGATTCGGTACAAAGGACAATATAGAGTACTTATTTTTTATGTAAGTTAGTAATAATCTATATTATTCTAACGAAGTAACTAGCATAAGCATACCTAAGATATTCTGTAATTGAAAATACATAAGTATAATCCTTTTAGAGCAGTAGAAATTAAGGTGGTATACTACAATTTCTCCTAATAAAATTGCAATATAAATTGACGTAAGGTCAGCATCATTACAATTATTATTAGTATTAGTTGTTTGAAGGACCTTGCGCAAGAAGTATCTATTTTCCCATGTGATTCCAAATATGCTTCCAGATACTGGTTATGTTTTCAAATTTTTAACTCAACTCAGATGATATTGGTGGAAAATGGATAAAATTTGTGGAATATTCGAAAACAGAGCTCGTACCTGACATACAAATAAATGTGTCACATTATAACGAAGCGGTGTACCTACTACATGTACATATAGCTGCTTGATGAAAACCTGTATATTTTTATAATATTATATGCACACATTGCAGCAAACCAACGTAAACAATGATTATATCAACAAGAAAATGATGTCTTCTAATATTATCAATTTAAATATAATATACAAGAAATTCACGGTGATATGTGGCCAAAATATATGTATGTTTATAAACAAGTTTATAATGATTACAATCAGGTGAAACATCTATTTGTTTATCATTTCAGCTAAATGTAGGTTACATTCTAAAGCAATAGTGTCATAATAATAGCAATGTGGAGGCGTCTGAATCTTATTCTACTACGTCTACGCATTGACCCATGGTTTTTCCAGATTAATTATGAATAGTCGCAAAAAATATATACCAAGTCGTAAACGTAAATTGATGATTACTAATAACTATATTTATGTCTGTAAGATTTTTTCTACGAAATCCTATGATTTCTTTGATTATATCTACATATAATGGATATATCAAAAATATTTACTTGCACTATATAAATTCCTCCAAAGATGATAGTTATTATATGGCTGTATTGTTTATACAATTTTTCTGAAAAAGAACTGTGAAACTCATATTAAAATTCATTAGGGAACCGTCCATCCGTTAGGTCACATACATTTCTTGATTTTCTAATCTCTCCCCTGTCTTTGTTACAATTGTCCAAATTTATAAGACTCCTCCCACCGCGCTAAAGTCTTGTCAGATATTTTTAAAGAACTATACTCGTTATAATTCAATCTACGTATTTTTTTTATTTATGTAGTAATACTTACGTATTACTACATGAAATTTAGGTCTCCTCCTATCCTCCTACGTAATGTTGCATTTGTCGAACTAACCCCCCTTTGGTTGGCTCCTAACGGGTTCACAAGTAATCCAAAACCGACGCGGACAGTGACTTTTTTTATCCAATTTAGGGAAGTATAGCATCTTAAAACATTAATCCAGATTTAGTTATAATAAATAGGTAGGTATTACTTTCTCTCATACGTAGTTTTATTCATGAACATGCCAAATGCGTAGGTCTGTAACAGGAAAATCGTTTTTAAAATCCTTTTCGACCATGTTCCATAAGGCAAAAGTTCTCATTTCCATTGTATCTTTATTGTTTACGCAACATCTTCACTAAAATTGAATGGATCCTGATGGATATTTCTGTAATCGCTAAGATGTACACTCGGGCAGTTCCAAAAATTCCTCTCGCGATTCACTGTTGAAAGTTGTCTATTTTATAGTACAATAAATTATAATAATTAGTTACCAAAATTTTGTTATTCCTACTCCTGCTGTATGATAATGTTATTAAATTTATAGTAACTTTTTATATTTAGTAATTAATGACCCCATTACTAAAAATATATCCCATTAAAACAGTCCACATGGACTTATTGCCCCCGAAAAACATAATGATTAAGTTCTAATAAATAAATAAAAAAATCCTAATGAATTCGTCGTTGCAATTATGTAATATTCTATTGTTTATAGTATATACTAATTCTTCTGAACTGGGCCTCGTCTTATCATTTACTGTGAGTTGACTATTCTATCATCAGCCATAAAATAGTAGGTATATTGAAATCCAATTCTGCACACCGATTTAAAAATTTTTAATATAACTATTGAAAACTGACAAAAACAAAATAATTTTACGCTTTTATTTATATAAATGTACGTTATCCGAGATATTTACGTAACATTTAGTTGTTTTATTGAATAACAATTGTCATTTGCTACTACCATAAATTTAAAAAATGTACGAAAACAGTAAAATTGAAATGCGTGCCAGAATAATATCTTTCATTGTCATCTTTATTCATCTCATGCTGGTTGAGGCTGACATATGCTAAAAGTGCTAG